TGTCTACACCCATTTCCAATGGGAGAGAGGTCTCGAGTTCTGAGAAGGGGGTTCCAGCAGAGAAACAGAGTCTGCAAAGCTGGGGTCCCAGGTAGGTAGTCCTTGGCCAGGGACCGCAGACCCTGCCTGGGCCATGCGTACCCCAATAAGGGCCAGGTGTTATCCTCAGAGGGAGACAGGACAGAGAGAAGAAGCCAGCCAGGGATGAGAATGGAGGGAGATGGAGAGATGACCTGACTGACCGCCTGCTTGCCCATAACTACTCATCCGGCTTCCCAAATGCCCTGCTGTATCATCAGCAATCTTGGGCTGTGAGTAACAGCAATCTGAATACAAATGGTTCAGATAATACAGGAAGCTTTTATTTCATAAGCAAAGAACGCTTGCAGTACGCTGGCTGCAGGGAGGGGAACTGAACCGGTTCCTTACCTTTTCAGGCTCAGGTTCCATCGGTCGGTCTGCTGGGGGCTCACATCACACCCAGACGAGATATGCTTAGAGGGTGAAGAGGTGCCGTTGTTTTCTCTGGGGCTATTTTTAAGATTAATAAGACCTTTCCCTGAAGTGACTCTCAAAAATTTGCCCTGGGTTCTTCGCATTAGTCAAGGTTAGATTATATGTTCATTTCTTTCTCAGCTGTTGGTGGGGCCAGTGAGGCTTCCTGGACTGCTTGGGAAGTCAGGGCTGGTGTGACCAGTGCTTGGTGTGGTGGAGAGGGGTTCACCAAGCGGAGACCCCATTGCTATGTTTAACCTTCAGGCCCTGCGGCTCCTACTCTGGAGAGGGGGATCAGCGCTGATTCAATTGCAAGACCCTTGCTGAAGGAGGAGACCCTGTTTAACTCTTAGAGGTTTGTTGGGATACAGAAGGGTGAGTAGCATTAGGGTTATGGGATGGGACAGGACCAGAGTTGAGGGCCAGACACTGAAGGCTCCTTCATTCAAGGAGTTGGGAGACTCAGTAGGATCCACTGAGGTGACATTTGGACACAGTGGCCTTGGAGCTGGGTCACAATGTCCGGGCTGTGGAGGCTGAAGCAGGAGGATCCCTAACTTTGCCTGTGAGTCATGGAAGGACAGGAAGGAGAGGAGCCTGTGAGTCAGAAACTACCTGGGAGGAAGGAAAAAACCACAGGAAGTGAGTGAAAGTCGGGAGGGGGCAAGTAGTGCCTGGAATGACCTGGGGGATCGGCCAGGGGTGAGGGTCCCCTCCCCTAGGCTGTTGGTGCCCACAGCCTTGGCTATTTCTGCCAGTTGTACTTCCCATAAACCTCCCCTTCTGCCCACCACAGGCCGCTGCCCACTCACCCACAAACCCACTCGCCAGCTGTTGTAGTCCTGTCTCCCCTCTCCCCCGGCACCCAGAGGGCATCTGACCTAGGCGTGGTCACCTCTTCCTCTGCCTGTCCTTGTCCCGGGCATCTGCTTATGAGCAGAGCACATGGTGGTGGGCACCGCAGACCCAGAAATGGTGTGGCCCAGGGGGGTGACAGGTGGAAGGCAGAGGGGACACAGTCCTGGGCCTCTGTCCCACTCATTGGAGGGGTGGTCTGACTAGTCCAGAAGTGACATCTGCCCTCCTTTACTGCTGTTTTATATTTTAAGCTTCTTCTGAAATTTCCGAGGAGTGGTGACCAGGAAAGGCATGATTAAATCACATTCTCTGAAACTTTATTTCACAAATGTAAGTCATGAAGTATAAAATTGAGCAACTTTTGGCTGGTGAGATGGCTCAGTGGTCTAAAAGCGCCTACTTAGAACAAGCTTAGCAGAGCACAGAGACCGTGGTTCAATCCCCCAGCACCACATGCCAGCCATCCCCGCCCCCTGGTGGGCTGAGCTGGCCACACACACACACACACACACACACACACACACACACACACACACACACACACATAAATAAAATTTAAAAAAAAATTGAGCAACTTATCCTACCTCTCTGTCCATAATAGTAGAGACAGATGGTCTACTCTCCATGTCTCACTGTGTAGTCAGGCTAGGCTTGAACCCACTGCATAGAGGAGGCTGGCCTCAAATGCTAGGCTGGCCTTGAATTCCCACCCATCCTCCTGCCTCAGCCTCCCAAATGCTGAGATTACAGGTGTGTGCCACTGTGCCTGGCTTCCTTTATCTTTCTATGGCAGCATGGCAGTTTCCTCTATGGATGATCCATAATTTATGTATTTGGTACAGGGTCTCACTACACAGCTCGGACTCGTAGTGATCCTCCTGTCTCAGCCTCCCCAGTGCTGGGATTACAGGCATGTACCATCATGCCCAGTCTTGGTAGCTGGCTCAGTGCACCTGGGGCAAGGCCAGCATGACATGTGGTGCCAGAAGATCGAACCCCAGTCCCTGCACTTGCCTAAGCAGGTGCTTAGTCTGCTGAGCTATCTCACTGGTCCAGATGATCCATAATTTAATTCCCTATAAATGAAACTAATTTTATTTGCCTTTTCTACTAAAAAAAAAAACAAACATAGATAATGCTGCCACGAACATCTTTGTACATGCGTATATCCTTGAGCATTTGTATAAATAAGATAATGTAAGATAAAATCCTAGATGTTAAACTGCTACATCCTAGGGCATAGGAATAGAAAAATGCAGTAGATAAGGACTAATTACTTCTAAGTGCCCTAATTTCCTACCATTAGCTCCATGGGAGGCGGCCTGCTGCTGTGAACCTTCTTACTCTTTGCCAAGTTGATAAGCAAACATAACATCTTGTTTTAACTTGTATCTAAAATTATTAGCAAGACTGAACATTGTGTGTATTTTTTATTAGCCAGCTATGCGTTTCATGACTGCCTGTTTGCACTCTTTGCCTATATTTTTCTGTTCAATCATTGGTCTTTTCCGTATTGTTTTAAAAATAAGTCTTTTTAAAATTAGGAAAATCAGCTCCTTATCCTCCACCGTGCAGGTATTTTTTTTCTGATTCTGGTCTTTGACTTTGTTGATGGAGTTCCTCCTTTAATGTCTTTGTAATTACATTACTGCTCTTCTGTTTTGTTCTGTGACTAAGCAAGTTGCCACCCCAGGATCATAAGAACATTTGCACATTATTTTTTCTTCTGGTGCTTCTATGGCTCTACTTTTCAGACATTTTTCTTACTTCAAATCTTTGATCCTGTTGGAATTTCTGTCAGTGTAGGAGTGAGGTAGGGAATCCAGATTTATTTACTTTTCATCCAAATGTCTGGCCAGTGACTCAGTTTATTGAATTGATTTCTTATGTTTATTTGGGTCTCTTTAAAATCAGTTTCTTTATTCTTTAAAACTGACCTGCCTGCGGGGAGTGGTCCCACGCGCCTTCAATTACTGGAGCTGTGTAATATCGTGAAGAATGCCTTATAGGTCACTCTGGCTTTGTTAGTTTACTTTTTTTTAATGCAGGAATTTTCTGTTATATTATCTTCCCAGATGAATTGGAAAGGACTTTAGTGAGTTATCCCCAAAAAGCCACTGAGATTTTATACAGATGCTATTGAATTTATAGTTTAATTATGGTAATACAAATATGCTCACAGCATTGACTTTTTATTCATGAACAGAATTTCTCTTTTTATTCACATCAATGTTTAAGCTCTTCATTTGGGTATTATTATTGTTTTTTAATGTATTTGGTTGTTGCAGGGTCTCACTATGCAGCTCGGACTCATGGTGATGCTCCTGCTTTCAGCCTCCCCAGCGCTGGGATTACAGGTATGCGCCACTGGGCCCAGGCTGTGGCATGTGGTGGGGGCTGGCGTGGCATGTGGTGCTGGGGATCAAACTGCAGTCCCTGCAGTTGCCTATATTTGCCTAAGCAAGAGCTTCAGTCTGCTGAGCTATCTCGCCAGCCCCATTTGAGCATTATAGCTATTTCCACTTCTTGCATATTTAAAAATGAGTTTTGTTTTTGTGAATAGCTTTTTAATAGATTCTTTGGTTATTATTATTATTTTGTATGTAGGACATCTTTGTTTAAATCTTATTTTTAGACTAGCTGCTTTGCTAAGTTCCAGGCTTTTTTTTTTTTTTAGTACTGGGAGCCGAACTTAGGACCTTGCACTTGCCAGGCAGGCACTCGTGCCATTGAGCTATATCCCCAGACCTCTGGGATTAATATTAAATGTTCTTTAGCTGATTCCCTTGGAATATTCAAGTATAGAATAAGATCATCCCACCAGGCACAGTGATGTATGCCTGTGAGCCCAGAAGTTGGGAGGCTGAGGCAGGAGAATCTCACCATGTGTTTGAGGCCAGCCTGGGCTACATAGTGAGTTCAAGGCCAGCCTGAACTATTTATCAAGACCCTATCTCAGAAAAACCAAACTAAATACCCCTAAAAACAAAAAATAGAATAATGTCATCCCATGTCGTTAAGTTTGCTTTCCATGATACGCATACTTCTTCTTCTTTTTTTTTTTTTTTGGCGGAACCAGGGATTGAACTCAGATCCTTGCGTTTGCCAGTCAAGTGCTTATCCTACTGAGCCATCTCCCCAGCCCCGATATGTGTACTTCTCATTTTATCCTTTTGTCTAGTGGGATTTTAAAAAAAAATTCCACTTCAAGGTTCAATACGCTGGTGGTGGCTCATGGTGACAGCAAACATTGGCTTTAATAGGAACACTTCAGAGTTTTCCTGCTGAACACGCTGGGGAAAATCTATGCCTTTATTTTCCATATTAATCAGGGGGCTGAGCTGGGTTCTGCGCAGCTCAGCTCTTGTTCTCCTAACCCCGTCTGCCTTCCTTCTTCTTCCTGCATAGGCAGCGTCCCGCCACGGTGACAAGAGGCTCGGGATAATCGGCCTGGAAAGAGGGAAGGTTTACTTTGGCTGTGACTTCAGAGCCTCCCGTCCCTGCCACCTGGCCCTGCGCCTTTGGGCCGCGGCCGCCTCAGAGTACAGGAATGATGGCTCACCTCTCCAGGGCTGGAAAGAGGGACAGGGAAGGAGCCAGGGTCTCTGTGTCCCCTTTTAGTCCACGCCCCAGTGGCTCCATGGGTTGGGGCTGAGCCTTGGACACACAGGCCTGTAGGAGACACCTGTCCAGATGGCAGCCAGTCCTTAGCTCAGCGTCCCCTCCTCAGCAGCCTCTTTCCTAGAAGTGGGGGCACAGATCTGAGATTTGGCCACAGTCACAACCAGGAAGTCAGGATGTGGGCTTTCAGCCTCTGTCCTCAAAGGAAGGAGGAGACGCAGGAGTCCCTGTCTCCTGACAGGGAGGAAGCAGAGGAAGGGGTGGCTAGACCAGGAAGGGAGGCTGGGGCTGAGGATCCCAACCAGGGTCCTCAGAAGAAAACTGGGCCTCTGCTCCTTGTCCACTGCCAAGCAGACCTCAGGGCCACCTTGAGCCCAGTGCTGTGGGTCTCACTTGGTGTAGGCGGCTGGTTTCATGCCAGGGAGGAAGGAGACAGTAGCAGGGCTCTGTGCCTGTGGGGCAACCAGAAAATGATGGCCTAAGGTGGTCACGCTTGTGGCTTCCGGAAGCAGTGCCCACTGTGTCGTCAACCCTCCTCCCAGGTCCCTAGGCTGTCTGCTGGTCCCAAATGATGGCCTCACCACCTTTCTGCAGATCCTGAAGCCTTGTCCTGGCTGTAACCGTTGCTTAGGGTCCTGCTAACATTGTCATCACCCTGGAGAGCCATAGCCAGGCCCAGGGCTTGCTGGAGAGACGAAGAGAGAAGTTTCCGGGGCGGGCACAGCAGATGCAAGGGAGGCAGCCCTGGGGGTTCCTCTGTGAGGGGTGGGCCAAGGCCAGGTGGCCAGAGAGTATCTTCTGAGTGCCTATCCTGGCCATGGTGGTCGGCTGCAGGGGTGTGGGAAGCCAACCCTCTACCAGACCCCCGACACTGAAGTCCCTGGTCCTGTGAAGGGAGGGGAAGCCACTTCATAGCTACGTTTCTGCTACCTGAGGAGGTGACACATTCCTCTTCCTTTCTCACCAGAGAAGACCACAGCTGTTGGGGTAAACTGAGTCCACACAGAGTGAGGGTGAGTGTGATCAGTCACGGACACTCAGTCAGCAGAAGAATGAGATGGGCTCCTGGCTCCTGACCTCGGGTGCAGGATATGCTTCGAGCATAAAAGGGTTCTTTTTTGCAGGACTGGGGATTGAACCCAGGGGCCCTGCCCTGAGTGGCAAGCCCAGCCTTTGAGAGCATCTTGCTATTTGCTTTGTTGAACTTGCAATGCTCCTATCTCAGCTGCCTTGGGCCTGGGATTACAGGCATGTACCACCACTAAGGGATTCTTGAGGTCTTTCCTGCTGCATTTGGTGCACCTATGTGGGGACGTCTGGAGCTGACCCTGTTGCTGTCTGGCCAACAGGAAAGGGGCTCCTGCCATTTAACTAGGACTTGGGAAGAAAGGCAAGAGCCAGGATCAGGGAGGGAGGAGGTAGCCCTGGGGTTCTGGACCCTGCATGGGCTCTCAGGATGGGCACTTGGACAGAAAAGGTAAGCTGGGCCCCAGGGGTTGGCCCTGGGCTCAGAGGAGCAAGGGTGGTTCTCAGGAACCAGGAGGTGACAGAGCTTAGGGCATCCATACTGTCTCCCACACCATGACCAGAGCCACAGCCAGGAGGGCTTTCCCTGGACCGGGCTTGCAACACTCGGCGGATTCCTGACTGATGTGGCTTCCTGTGGAACAGTAGGTGCCACTGGTGGGCTTGGGTTAGTGCTCTGGCAGGAGTCTTACTCATTTCCAGTCTTCTCAATTTCGGCACCAGCCCAGCCCTCAGGGGGAAGCTTCTAGTAACGCGCCCCAGATGTGCTGCTGGGGACCAGGCCAAGAGCGTGAGATGGCTGGCTGGTGGGAAAACAACTCGATTTCCCCAGAAGAGCCTCCCGCGGTGGGCAGACACCCCCTGTTGGCCTCGACACTCCCCTCTCTGGAGCAGGGGACCCTTGGCTTGGAGGTATCCTTTCCAAGGCCTGCAAGAAGCAGAGGAGGATCCTTCAGGTGAGTGAAAACTGGGGTGACATGATAGGGTGGGGTGGGGGTCAGAATTTATGGGCTCTGCAGAGGAGGGCGGGGTTACCTGGCTGACTCATGAAATGCCCCCTAGCGATGCTAAGGGACCTTAACCATCTCAGCAAAGCCCCGTTTGCTTGGTGTCAGAACACATTCCAGGCGCTGGGGTGTGGACGTCCTTGTGGGAGGAGGGGGCGTTCGCTGGCTCCCACTGTGTTTATGCGTTCAGTCTGCTCCTCAAGCTCATTATCTTTGAAGGAAATATTTGTAAACGTGTGCAGTGCTGTTTGTTGGCAACCCCACGTCATTTCCCTCCCTTGCCCTGCCCAGTGGGGACTGGAAGTCAGAGAACTGCAGAACTCGGTTCTCCACTGGGCAGGAGAGGCCATCTGCAGGCTTAGCAGGTGGAAGAGAAGCAGCGCTAGTGACTAGGGTGTTTACCTAGCAGCTGCAGGCAGGGGTGCAGACGCCAGCACCCCCGGGGGTTCGAGCTCAATGAAGCCCTTCAGGCAAACCCTCACAGAACTCCAGGCTCATTTTCATCACTGAATCATTGCAAGCTGGTTTCTGCCCATCTGAAGAATTAATCCATTTCTTGTCCTAGGGATTGAGCCCAG